ATATGCAGGCTGTTCCCCATCTCTCATTTCCATGCAAGTGAAATTGAAAACAACTCCATGTTTACTGAACACTTTTGCTATGGGGAGGTACCCGTCATGATGTCTAGTATTATAGTATCCTGCTGTTAGTTCAGCAGCATGAGACCTTGTTCCGTAGTGCCAATGAATTCCGGCAACCTTTGCCGACAGTTTTGCTCCGGTTCCGTGGAACGTTCCTTTCGCGGCCGCCAGTATTCGGTCCCCGTGCTCAAGTAACTTTCCGGAGTACCATTGTAGGAAGAATTGCCCGTACTCGGTGTTCCATGTTCCATCCCTTTTGAAAAAACCTGTTTCTTCAGGAAGTTGCTTGTAATGGCCTGAATCATGTGGACCGCCTTTTCCCCAGTCTTTCTTCCCGAAGGCTTCGGCTGCTGCTTCCAGGGAAGCTCTCATGTACTGTAAGTTCAACATTTTTGCTTGTTTAGGAAGTAACCAAATCTTCGTTTTGATCACTCAAGTTATGTTCAATTATCTAAGACATTGTTTATGTACACTAAACGAAACAGAAAGTTCATCAAATTTACCTTATCATAGCACTGAAACTCTCCAATTCCAGGAAATTTCCAGGTTCCATCACTTTCTGGATAAGATGGGTATCTCAGTTCCCCACAAGGTCCCATCCCCACTTGAATTTCCTGAAATAGAAATTACACTTTGTTAAGAAAGCTCCCCTTTTTCTTTACTTTTACAGCTTTTCATCAATATTTTCTGTCCTCCGTGTCCTAGGTCCTGCAGTAAATATCCTAAACATTTGGCCTAATAAACCCTTTGGTATTTTCACTGTTAAATTAATATTGTGAAATGTATCATATCGATAATTAAATACATATGAAAATATCACGTCAACAATATATCACATTAATCTACTAACGATTTCTATTAAATATGAATCATTTTGATTAAAAATAATCGAGATTAAAATATTCTATAAAAATAATGATTAAACGACTATTCAAATCAAGGGTGAGAGTTAATTTTGATATTATGCAAAGATAATAAGTAGAATATCATAAAAATTTGCTATTTTTACCGTAGCAACTAGAATGAATGAGTAGAATGAGAAATTACCACTATAACTCGTCCCAAGTAATCTCTGAACTTCTCACGGAAACTCCTCATGTAATCTGTGTAAGCTTGAATAGGTGTTCTTCCTCTAAGAACAGGAAGCGAGTCACATCCCAATGATATGTACTCAGGATTCCTCCTCCCCGATTTATCTGTGTACACGAGATCCGGGTTTTTGCTGATTTCTTGAAGCACCCAAGGAGGCAAAGGAATACTAAAAATTCAACCATACATAAATCTCAGTTTCATAGATTTCATCAGTCGAGGGAAAATCAGATACACCAGAGAAGTTTAAGTAATTACCTGCAGGAATCCCCGACATTGCCTCCGCACTGATGAAAAGACATGACAACTTGGAGTTTTAAGCCATGTTTTTCGACCATTTTCACAAGCTCGACATACCCTTCCCAGTTGTAGTTTAAAGGTCCATCTTTCTCCACCAAACCCCACCACGCGTCCACCATAACTCCCTCCACGCCGGCACTCTTTAACGCCATCAAACTGGCGCTCATCGCCCTCGGCTTATTCAAGCTGCCTCCGTGAGTCACCGTGTCAAGCGGCAGCATCACGAAAACCGGCACCTTGGAGTTGTTTTCGGTATGGGAAATCGTCAGTCCATGTAATTTTTCCATTCCTTTGATCGAGATACTCCCGTGAGATGGTTCCGGTAACGTCATCGACGTCGAACTCCTTGCTCGGAGACGGCACGAGGGCTTCGTCTGAGCGATGGAGATGGTGGCTATGAAGTCATCAGGGGTTTTGAAGCTGTTGGTTTCTTTTAGCTTGATGAAAGAAGTAGAAGAACGTAATGTTAAGGCCATGTTTCTTGAGAAATGAAGAGATATTGGAATGAATGAAGATGGTTTACCCTCCATTTATGAAAGAAGTTTGAAGGTAGGAGACAACAATGGTGGGCTCGCCTTTAGAAAGTGCACAAGATCAACCTAGTCAGCACAATGTCACACATTATCTAGAACGCGTTCATTCCTTGTAAATTCTTTCACGGAACTTTAATGTCCTAAATTGTGGTTAGTGTTTCATTTTGATTTGGCTTTGGTCGGTTCTAATTACAGAAATCGTTAAATGATTGATAATATGACTGTCAATTTCATAAATATAATTTTCATATTTACACACATACAAATTTATGTATCATATTTCATAACATTATAATTATACTTTAAAATTTTTAAGTTGTTTCACCTTATATATTAATTCACAATTTTGTAAATATATGTTAGATTTTATACTTCCTCCTCGATTAATAATATTGTTTGTATCTATTTTTAATTCGAATTGTTTAATTGAATATTTAGCCATTTCTTTCATGATTTTTATTATTAAATGGTTTAACCTTTATATATATATATATATATATATATATATATATATATATGAAATACACATAAACTAAATATTTTTGTAAAATTATTGAAATACACATACTAACCATTTAATAATAAAAATATATATATATATATATATATATATATATATATATATATATATATATATATATATATATATATATATGGTTATGATCCATTTACACTAAATAAACTAATCAGTTTTATATTATAATTTATAGCTATTAAATTTAAATAAATAAATGACTTAGATTTAATTAAAATTTATAACCAATAAATAAATACTTCTTTTTAAAGTTAGGGTTTAAAATTTAAGGTCTAAGATTTAAAGTTTAGGTTTAAGATTTTAGGATTTAGGGTTTAATATTTGAGATTAAAAATGAGTGTTATTTTATTGCGAGTTAAAAGACATTTATTTGTGTATTATAAATTTTAATTGAATCTAAACCGTTTATTTATTTAAGTCTAATAGTTATAAATTAATGTAAGACTTATTAGTTTTACATAGTGTAAGTAAATCATATATCGTGTGTGTAATTTGAGCTTTAGCAGTTGTTGGGCAATCAACATCTGAGTTCCCATGGTCACCATAAACGAGTTTCGTGGAGCGAATGAAACATCTTATCCCTTCCAAGTTTCTTTCTCATAAGGAAACAATAATCAAGTTGGAAGTTGGAACTTCAAAAAACAAATGAGCACCCACAATGGAAAGGAGAAAAAGGGTGTTTCGTGGAGCCAAATGAAGCATGCAGTGCAGGTCCCATACTTTTCTAACCAAACACCATCAAACTTATAAACCTGCAACAAACATATTCATTAACCTATTCATACATGTATCTGGTTTTCAATTACTAAGGACTGTAACCTGTCAAATTATGATTCTGAATAATCAATTTGGTCTAAATCAAATTTAAGATTCGAATTGTAATATTTATAATTTAAACACCCCAATTCCTGAAATGAACTTGAGTTTGGTGTTGAAACTGAGCATGCAAACAAACAAAAATGTATCTCTTTCCAACATTGCTGGCAAATTGAAACGCATAATTGGAAAGAAAGAATGATAAATTTGTAATGGTGGGCATTGGTCTTTCTATCTCCATCATCAAACACACATTTTTTCCAATTCAAAGGATGAGTTTTGGTTGGTAGATATAACTCCCTTCCTCTCACCCCCAAAGAAGAAAGTCTAGCTTCTATACGCATGTTGTTTAAGACAAAATAGCAGAGGGAAAAAAGACCCCGTTTTCCTAATGGCTTCACACTTCAGTTTTCATTGCCCTCTTACAATCAATGCAAACAAGGTCCCTCCCCCCCCCCCCCCAACCCCCTTCAAATTTCTCAGTTTCTTTTCGTCTGGCGCCATTAAAATGTTATCAGTTGTGAATGATTGAGCAACAAAGCTTCGTTACCTTACCCCCCCCCCCTTTTTTTCCTGTAGAAGTCGGTTTTGTTATGTATAGATTAAGTCATTGCACAAACTATCTTGAATTGAAATACCTTAAGTCAACTGTTAAACAAATATTTTAAAGTAAAAGGAGCACGAAACACGTAATCTTAGTGGTTAACGGATTGTTGTTATCATTTGAGGTCCTAGATCTGAGCAATGCATATGCATGGATATAAGTGTTCATTGTCAAATGGTGACTAACGTTTATAATATTACCATTTTAAGTGTTTGATTCATGTTGACCGTTAGAATTTATGTTATTCTATGCATGTCAGTTTATATATTTTTTAAATATTTTTTCCTAAAATCACAAATTTTAATTCTCTTATTGTCATCGCCTTCATCGTTAAACAACCATTCATTTGTTGTTGTTTACCCAATGACCAGTTATTTCCCTTGTCATCGCCTCACACCCTTAAATTCTCCTATCCCTAACTTAAATACCTAAAACCTCAAATAAACAATCCATAAACCCTACTTACTAATCACCGTCGGTCCTCCCATAAAATGTTAAATTCAACGCCGGCCTCGTTCATGCTTTACTTTGCTGCTGTGGAGTCGTGGAGAGGCTGCCTTTCATTTCATGCTTTGCTTTTAGGTTTTTTCTTTAACAATAACATTTTTAATTTTTTTTAAAGCAATATAAACGTGACATATGTCAAATAACGAATTTTTTAACGAGGTAGACTCATAAAATAATAACATTGAAAATGTTAAATATTTATATTAATCAGTAAAAAGGTTGAGCACCTAAATAGGTGCTATTGATATTTGATAAGAAGAGAGTAGCTGTCACTGACACTAGATAGATATTCCCCCATTGATAAGAGAAGAGGCGTGGAGGGATACCATTTAGAACTTCCTCCAGAAATATCTGATGAACCTTCAAAAGATATTTTGCCCAACATTGATATTGGATGCTGCAGATATTTTTTCCTTCAAAAAGGAAAAGAGGAGCTGCAATGACATAACACTGAGTCACTCTCATGTGTTCGATATTACGGCCAACGGCTTCTGTCGGTACGTTTTCGATGTTTGCTCGGTAAGAATATGCTCAAAACAAGGAAGCTCACAAGTGCAAAACTATATTGCAGAATTTGATTCCTCATTCATCATAAGGTTAAGCCATAGGGGAATGCATACCAGCAATGTACCTAAGTTTTACACACAATCATTATTACCAAATTTGTAAGTACATGATCCAAGAAACATAAACATGTCTTTAGTGTTTCTGTGGCTTCTGGATAATACTAGTGATACATGGGGCTGAGAATCAAACATTATGCCATCGGAAACACGGAACCGATCTTATATCCGAACCGGTAGCACTTGATGTTAACCGAGTATGGACCGAGCTGTACATGGTTATCCTTTTCACCCACAAAGAAACACAGAGTATAGAGAGCAATTTCAAACTCAGGGCTGACACCAATCAATGTGGTTGACACTGCTTTAAGGACCCAATTCCATTGTTACTGAATTGTAAGCAACTGTGTTTGAGAGTCTGGCTGCAAAAGGGCACATGTAGGTGCAGATAGATGAGCCAAAAGAATCCACTCCAAGATTATAATAACATTCATCAAACACGACGAAGATCGAAGACGAAGAGACTTACGGTTTCCCCTCGTCTTCGGGGTAATATATAACCTTCCTTGATAATCAACTCTTCCTTTTGCTTCTTCTAGGTACAACTCGAAGATGAAATATAGGATTAGGTGTAAACATCTTAGAGTAGGAAATGCTTACACTAGCAAACACACCTGAAGCCAATTGTGGAAGCCAGTGACTTCTTCCCCACCACATCAGTTGATTTCCCCAACGAAAACATGTTCGAAAGAGGAAGAGGAACCGGATGTTCCGCCTCGACCATAAAATTTACATTTTGGGGAGGTCTTGAACCCGAAACCTGTCGGCCCTCGTCATCCTGTTTACTCTGCTCCTACGAAATCAATGAAATTCCAACTTGAAATACAAAACACTAAACAGCCACTTCAATTTCAGATCCGAAAACACTAAATGTTTTATTAAATAACGGAGAACCTGTTTTCTCCGTTGAGACGGAGGACGATGTTCGTTATCATGATCCCCCGACACCACCTGCGCCCAACTGGATCTGGACCGTTCATCTCGTTCCTCGTATTCATTGTCGCGGCCGTCACCACCGCCGGTTACAACGTCGTTGAAACCCTTGGTTAGTCCGTCCATATCTCAAAAAACGAGTGTAGTGAGCGGCAAACGAGAGGTGGTACGTGATCTGTATATACGAATAAACACAAGACGATGGTTTTTTTAACTTTCCGTTTTTAGGCGGGTAATGGAAACGCGCTTTCACCGAACACATCTTGCCACGTGGATGGTCTTACCTGTTTTAACTGATATAATTAAAATTTAATTTTACTCTTAATTTTAATTAAAATAATTCTTAGTAAGTTTGTTGAATTGAAAATAAAATAGATATATATATATATAATAAAGGCCATCTTTTAATTTTATATTATAAATATTAAATTTGTACCACAAATTAAAAATCATTTGATATGATATTATAAAATTATGGATGTATGCATTTTAACTACGTTGTTAAATAAAAGTTAAATGTTTAAATCACATCATTAATAAAAAAATAATTTTATTGTTTTGATAATATAAATTTTCGGACATCAAAAATTATAATTTTTTAAAAAAATACAATAACATTTAAATAAATGAATATTTATAAAATATTTTTTCAATGAATGTCAGTAGAATCATCCTAAAAGCATAATATCACGAATAATATTATCTATATATGAATGTTGAAAAAAATGCTAATTCAGTATGCTTTATCTATTTAATTTTTTTATTAATAAATAAGAACAAAACATTTTGTTATTGTCCACTTAGAAATATAATGAATAATAACATTTTATTTGATTTACGATTTAATTATTAATTTTTTTATTGTTTCATTTTAATTTTGTTTTTGTTTTACTAAATTTAAACCATTCACTTTTTAAATCAATGTACAATATTTATGTATTCTAAAAAAAAATTATAATTTAAATCTCTTGGCAGTGTATGATTTTCTAGTTTCTTTAATTTCTTTTACATTTTAAGTCTATTTTTATCAAATATAAATCATACTTTCATCTGAAATTATAGAATGTATATGTAATTGTAATTTATCTGTTCAACAGAAAGACTTATCAACTTGAGTACTTGACTAACTCAATTAATTTTATTCAGTTCAACTTAATAATATACAAATCCTAATTATTCCACTAGCTCCGATTTTCATAAGACTTTAGACCTCTTGCATGAAAGGGCAATCCTTATAGGAACGGTTTTTTATTATTAATTTAAGATGATTATAAGATATTTTTTTTAAATATTATTAATCATTTAATAATGAATGTTCTAACATCCTTGCATGTGTTATACTTGAACTCAAGACATTAAGAAGTAAAAATTATCCCTTAAATCACTGAATTTGTTTGGTTCTTGCTCTTACAAAGGTATCTTGTGCATAGAGATGGGCACGGGACCCGAATCTGACGGGTTCCGACCTGACCTTATTGATTCAATTTTTTTTTTAAATTGAATTCAGATTAGATCGAGTCAAAAAATTTTAAAAAGATCTGTTAAGGTGTGATTCAATTCAAATTTGAGGTAACAAATGCCCTATCCGACCAGAAAATTAATATAACCATACATTATATATTTAAAAATAATTACAATAATATATATATATATATCGTATTCATATTTTTATAGAATAAAATTAATAATTTTATAAATATATTTATTTGGATCAAGTGTGATAAACTTTAAGTTTTATCTTAAAAAGATGCATCAAGTTCGGATCGGATAAAATAACCCTAAATCTAAGTCAAATTTAAGGTGAAGGGTTTAATTTTTAGCTTAAGAGTCATTTGCTCTTATAGTTAACCCAATTTATCATTTACGCCTCTATCATTTTTTCGCATCGTTTTAGCCCTCAAAATTGTTTAATTGCATAATTTTATATCATTCTCATAACTTAAAACCCTGAGTTAATATTTAGACTCTATAATATAGATGTAATAGGATTATGGTTTAGAGTTTTAAGTTAGAGATAAGTTATAAAATAATGTAATTGAGCAACTTCAGATGCTAAATTGATACGAAAATACTATATGGACAGAAGTGATAAATTAAGTCTACTATAAGAATAAAAAATATTTTTTTACCTAAATTTTTTAAATCGGGTTGAATTGACTAAAAACCCAACTCCTACTCGTACCATCCCTACTCTTGCATCGCTATTTTAACCGTTTCTGATAATCACGTTAAATTAATCAAATTATTAATATAGTGTTCTTCGTCCAAAATAAAAGCCCTGTTGAGAATAACAGCGAGTGAAATACAGAGATTTACAGTTTAATCAATACTTAGTTAACTAAGTCCAATAATTATTATTTGTTTATAAATTTAATTAACTATTAAGAAAAAAAAACTTAAACAACAATAAGTTTGTTCTTTAACCATCTCGAGTTCTGCCCTTCACTTCTTTCGACATTCCAAGAAAAAAGCAATAAAAATTGTGCCACAAATCGATCCCAAAAGGAAAATAATAGAGAAAAAAAAACAGAACAATTTCCCTTTGATTCCCAGTATTGGAAGCTTGAAGATGAAGCCTTGGAGTATAAGCAGGGTGGCCATTGTTCCCAGGTACCCCCTGGCGGGAACACCAGTGACAGGCAACAACAAAAGTCACCAATTCTGAAGTGGGAAGCAAAGCTTTTTACCAGAAAAAGAATCTACGTTTTACTTTTTCTCCAACTTCCCCACAATCTCTCAACTTACCAAAGAAGCTTTTAAAGGCAAAAAAGGAACGCAAAGTGCAACAACGAACAAGCTTAACAATGAAGTAAAAAATTCAAGCAAGCAAAACAGTGTACTGAACAAGCTCCCTTTATGTCATTCTTCTCATTAAACATTAGTGGAAACAGAAGTAGACCAAAGTAAAAAGAAAAAAGAGTTCCCTTCACATCATTCTTTATGGTGCATTAACATAGTTCTTAAGAAGAAGAAAAAACTACCTAGTAACCCTCCCCCAAAAAAACCCAAAAAAGGAGCCATATCATACAGTAGATCCAGCCCTCATATATGAACATTCATAAGCTAAAACTATACAGTATGTTTTCTTTGGGATAACAAACCACTTCAAGATTAGATTTCTTCATCCTTTCCTCTCTCTCCCTGGCCCTTTTCTTCATCGATGAACTCCATGACCTTTCCCCAATCTTCTCCTTTAACTATATAATACGGTAAATATGGTGTTTATTTCTTTTGTTATGTGATCTCAGGCAACTGCAACAGTGCCAGTTCTCAAAGGATAACCTTGATCTTCATTTGCAGATGTAGATTTCCTTTGGTCGTTCTTCCTCATAGCTTTCATCGAGGAAGACAGGTTCTTGTTCTTCTCTTTAGCTTCATCCATGTCGATTTGTTCTTGTCTGCAATCTTCGCTACAGAAAGGCATGTCCCCTCTGCAAATCAGGAACCAAAGCTATCTTTTTAAGCCTAAACTAAAATATTTATTCGGCTAATACAAAATTCCGATCATTCTAAAACTAAAAGATTCATTCACCTGTACATGAAGATGTCGCAGTTGCCGCCGAGGGGCTTCTTGCAGAGGAAACAAGCATCCAAGAAATGGGGTTGTTGAACCTCTTCAAATCTGGAATCATAAATCCGGGCAGACCTAGGAGAAGGAACTGAACCGGAAGAAAAAGAAGGGAGATTCCTCAAAAGAGGTCTAGAAAAAAACCCACGGTTGTTAACCCTCTGGTAATTGCTTCCTGAATATCCGGCCTCCATATCGGCTAGGGAAGCCAATCCATCGTCTTCCTCGATGAAACAAGGCCGCGTTGAAGGTACAAAAGAGTCCATTCTGTTATAATCTCCAACGGAATAATTAAAGGTTTAGCCTTTGGCCCAAGGGACCTTGTTAAAGGGGGAGAGAAGGAAGAATATAGGGGGGGGGGGGGGGGGAAGGCATTAATGGGAAAAAATTTATAGTGGGGGAGAAAGCTTCGTTCTTTGTTTATGAAAAAAAAACTAAACCAACTTAGATTGGTTTAAGTAATAATCAACTTAATATAATTTAAATAAAATTATAAGTTAGAGTTTTTATGTATGAAAAAAAATTGTTAAAAATTCATATATTAAATTCAATTATACGACCTAAATCAGTAAAAATTAATTAAGGCCAAATCTTTAAATTGAATGATACCTAACAAAACCTAAAATAGATTATAAACATTGGTCGATTTTAAGAGTAAACTTTTGGGTCTATGAACATTGGCGCAAATGTTAACAAAATGGGTTTTATGTGCACATACTTGGGCTTGTTAGGCATGATGAGTTGGCCCAATTCTTGAAGAATACTAACGAGTTCATGAAGGACCAAGTATGAGACGTCCGAGAGAAGTGACGATGGTGTTACATGTCCGATGAGGGCAATTTTGTCAAGGCCTCGTTGATATGGACCGAGACATATGTGTGTAGATTTATGTAGGATAATCCTATGGAGTGTTGGGCTTGCCCAGAACCATCAGACCTAAACTGTTCCTTGGAAGGTTCCAAAAATGATAATATTATCCAATAATTAAGGAGATAAATACTTAATTAGAGATAATGTTGTATTTGAATTCAAATACCTTAGAGATAGAGTTTCGAATAAGGTAGGATTCAATCTAAGTCGTCGATGTACTTTGATCTAGATCGTTGGATCTTAATGGCCCCAACTAAAAATAGAGAGCTTATATCCTTATTTGTATTCATTCCATCAATTTCATTCTTTCAGAGTAATAAACTCAGGCATTTACTCTTATTCTCTTTGAGTTGCTTTGTTTCTAGCTTGTGTTGCTGAACATGAGGGCTAAGATAGCCTCGAGAGTTTTTCCTTTCTGAGTTCATTCGAAATTCCAAAGTGATTTAAGTCGTAGTGACTTAGAAAGTCCCCACATTGCTAGTGCTTCTGAGATCCGTTCAACCTTGGTGGTTTGGATTAGCCCTAGTGGTGTTTTGCTTCTGCATTATTATATACCCTATCGAATTTGTTCATCGCTTAGTGAGCCAGAGACTCACAAGGATGTCGTTAAGGCTGACTTAAGCGTTATTTTAACCTGAAAATCGTCTAAGTACCGCACGAATTGACTAACAGAAATCTAGCCCCGTGACAAGTGGTATCAGAGCAAGTCGTTGTGGGTTGAAAATGATCGTTTTGTACGTATTTGGTGGAAGTGGTGTCAGATCAAGTTGGAGTGTAGGTGTTGTGGATTCAACAGTGATCCGAGCTTGTTTTGTGACAAGAATCATCATAACGAGTTGAAGGAAATCGTTGTGGAATCAACGAGTGTTCTAGACAAGTTTGTGGAAAGGAATCGAGATGGAACAACAAAGAGGAGTTATTCCCACAGAGAATGGGGTGGAGAGCCACAGTGGTGGGGCTACGCTATGGAAACAAATTTTAGGAGTTATCCCAAGATCGTTGGAGATGAGGATCAAGTACCTTGAGAGCTTTTCCGAGGAAGCCAATGAGGTTCATGGAGTTGTGGAGTCACGTCTTGAATAGATATAGTCCATGAGGGAATGGTTCAAGGACGTGACACAACGAAGTCTCAACGACTGGATGTTTATAGAGATGAGTAATGCGCTCAGGGTCAATATGACAGCCTTGAGGGAAGATATGGATGGGCTCAAGAGTGAGCTACTCATGTACAAAGGAGCAATGAGTAATGGTGATGTACTCAAGATCTTCGTTGAAAAGCTTAGACTAGAGGTGATTATTACCAATAAGCAAGGTGGTGCCAGAGTTGTTCGGAAGTCAGAGCTGTAGCCACTTCAAGGTGTGAACTTGCATCAGTAAAGCCAACCAAAAATGAGTCGTCAAGGCCCATGCCCAAATACAGTGGTGAACATGGGGGGACCATGACAAGGGACAGTGGATAGATGGCGAAGAAAGCTCTTCGAGTGGCCAAGAAGTGGCATCGACTGATCGTGGTCGGATAAAGCCAACGGGGAATTATAGAAAGGCTAAGTCAGTGTCAAAGAAGAAGGAGAGTAGCAAGCCACTTAAATGTTACTTTTGTGATGGTCCTCACTTGATAAGAGGATGTCCCGAGAAGAATCACCTTGATGCCATTGTTAAGAGAGAATACAAGTCAGAATGAGAAGTAACCAAAGATTGTGTTATTGTTGGTGTCGAAGTAGTCAAGCCAGGAGCGAGGCTTGGCGCAAATGCGAGTGGCACAGGAAAGTCGATGGTAAATAAGTGAGATCTACTGAAGTGTTTCCTATGTTATGGACCACATAGGGCCAATAGTTACCCAAATGAAGAAAAGATCGGTGTCAATGAAAGTAGCAAAGCAGAGAAGTCGAGGGTAAAGAAGCGAAAGCCATTGAAATGTTTCCAGTGTGGGGGAACACACAAAGTGTGTGATTGCGCAGATGAAATAAAGCTCGGCGCGAAGGCCAAGGACCAAGCAGCAAAGCCGATGGTAAAGAAACAGGAGCAACTGGAGTGTTTTCAGTGTAAAGGTCCACACATGGTTCGTAAATGCCCAAACCGAATCAAACAATCCAAGGAAAGTGACAAGGACGAAGATAGTGAGCCTGCCAAGTTTGGTTCAATAATGTTTACTTCTTCCAAGGTTAATCAAACCCAGAAGTAGGACGGGTTTCCCAAACCCAATATTACCAAGGGGTTTGCCAAGAATGTCAAAGAGGTAGTCGTTGTTGTGGAAGCTTGAGTTGGCAAATGGCCAAAAGAGTCTGAGTCGTTTGAAGAGCAATTAAGCTCTGTGCATGCCGAGAGTGAGGCACAGTCTAAGTTGAGGAGTCTTAGGCATGATGGGGCGTTGAAGGAGTATGCGAGTCAGTTCAAGGAACACATGCTCAAAGTCCCGTAGTTGACTAAAGAAAATGCATTCTTCACATTCACGTATAGATTAAAGTCATGGGCAAAGAAGGAGAATGAGATGGAGAGAAGGGGAATCAATGAGTTATCTAAAGCCTTGAGAGCTGTCGAGTCCATCATAGAATTTGGAGTCAAAAAGAAGTCTAAGCCGAAGTTGAAAGTCGTGGGTAGTGGCAAAAGAATCCGAGATGTGAATGGGTCCAATGAGAATGAGCAAGGCTCTTCGAGTGATGCTTGTTCGAGTGGAGTTTATTCTAATGATGAATATTTGAACAGTAATCGTTCAAGTGGTGATCACAAGTCTGGAGAAGACATGTGGGAAGTTGGCACAAGTAAAGCTGGCATGTGCCTTAAGCCGATGGTAAGAAATGAGCAAACGGAGGGTCACCGAAGTAAGGGGCCACAAGAGTTGTAAGCTCGCCTAGATAAAGCTGAGTGGTCCGAGAAGATGGATAAACTAAGGATCGAGTTACCCAAGGACATGAGTGAAGATAAGGTCAAAGAGGTTGTGAGACTTGGCTCAATGATTTTGAGTTCTGCCAAGGCAATTGGAGGTTGAAAGCAAAATGGGTTGATGCATGTAAACATCAATATTGCGGGATAATCGAGAGTTACCTTAGTAGACATAGGGGTAACTGATCTATTCATGTCGAAGAAGGTTGCAGACAATTTTGGTTTGAAAGCTGATCCATCGAAGGGGTCGATCAAGACTGTCAATTCTGAAGAGGTAACAATTATTGGAGTGGCAAGAAAGATAGAACTATAGTTGGTGACTGATGTAACAATGATGACTTTAGGGTGATCAATTTGGATGACTTCGACTTTATTATCGGTTTGGTTTCCTTGACCGAGTGAAGGCTTTTGTCTTTCCGTTTGTCGATGTCATGTGCATCTTAGACTCCCGACGACAACGTATTATGTCTTTGTTTCGAGACAGTATGGGAGCGACTAAGATCGTGACAACTATTAAGTTTGTTTATGATGTTCCAAGGGAGAGGAATATTATTTTGGGGACTACCATCGAAGATATGATTGAAAAGTGATTGATGGAGTCCAAGCCTTCCAGGGACATGATGGGCGAGAGTTTTCCACCCATATAAGAGGGTTGAAGTCGTACCGGACTTCAAGGGAGGAAGTGTCGATGCGAGTAGAAGCACCAGACTTCAGGTTAGAAGTGTTGGTATGGAGTGCCAGACTTCGTGGAGTAAGAAGGGCTAACACATAGGGTAAATGTGCTGAGTGAGTTTGAGAGTCATCTCAAACACATTCCTAATGTTGAGTTTGATTCACCATTATTGTTGAATGTAGGTCGAGGACCTAATCATCTTTTTACAGAATTATTAATGGTTGGAAGGGACATATGAGACTTTCAGAGTTCTTAGGTACAAGTGAGTGTTGTTAATAAATTTAAGTTGTCGTGTTGTATGTTGTCGGAGTATTCAAGTCTTTGTCGCTGGATCAAAAGTATCCTTGTTTGGGTGAATGCAAATGAGTAAGATGGATTTCCTACGCTCGAGATATATGCTACGGTGTGTTAGATGGTAATAAGACATGAAGATGTTAATCAATGCGAGCAAGCCAATGTGTTTTGTTAAAGCGTCCAAGGTGATCAATACCAAGTGTTTTCACCTAGCGATGAGAGCGTCGCTAGATCAAGTGGGGGAGAATGTCACGGACTAAATTTTTGGGTCTATGGACATTGGCGTAAATGTTGACAAAACGGGTTCTATGTGCGCAAACTTGGGCTTGTTGGGCATTATGAGTTGGTTCATTTCTTGGAGAATGTTTATGAGTCCTTGAAGGATCAAGTTCAAGGTATCCGAGAGAAGTGACGATGGTGTTACATGTTTGATACGGGTAATTTTTTCAAGGCTCGTGGATATAGACTGAGACATGTGTGTGCGAATTTCTATCGAATAATCATATGGAGTGTTAGGCTTGCCCAGAACCATCAGACCTAGCACGTTCCTTGAAAGGTTCCTAAAAGGATAATACTATCCAATAATTAAGGAGATAAATACTTAGTTAGGGATAATGTTGTATTTGAATTCAAATACCTTAGAGATAAAGTTC